TTACATTCGTAAATGATATTTTATTGCAGATTTGGACTCCAACCAAGGAGGTGGACCGGAACGTGATTTTTGAGAGGCACTAGACTTTTGGTGAGTGCTTCCAAATACCTGGTTGAACTGGACACTTGTTTTCAATACTTGATCAATGTAAATCAAGGATATGTGATTTGTTTGATCGGGCAAGAGTGTACTTTATCGCACTTGTCCTAATATGATATGTACTTGTTTATTGTTGCAATTAACTTGATATACTTGTACTTGAGTTGTGAGTACGGAGCGGCACTATGTACCACACTCAATCCGAGTAGGAGATGCCTCTCATTCCCGTCTCCGTACTTTTATTTTGATTCAGTCGATTGGAGATGTATCTCTTTGACTTCTTGGGAACCCAAACCCCACTGGCTAGTTAATCGAGTCGAGCTGGCAAGGGATTGGTCGATTAGATAACGAACCATGGGTATCTAGTGTTGTCGAGTGGAGTGTTATCTCATCGACTAATTGGTATACTCGAATAGTACCACCAGTGTTTAGTTGGTGTTCGGGCCTGGTAAGGGGGTGAAATGGTGAATGGATTGGAGTTAAGCGAAATACTACTGGATTGGTTACTTTACTTGAAAGTTGACAGCGTGTCAACTATTACTTGATCAAACTCTGGTGACTCAGATGGGAATTTGGCTCCTGAGATCCATCCGTATCCTTATACTTTGAAATGATTATTGCCTATTGGATTCTTGTTTCTTTCAAAAAACAAAACACTTTACACTCACTCATTTGGAGATTTGCTACTTGAAGTGTTATTGCTCACTTTTATGAACTTTTCATGCTCATTACTTTGCTACGTGACATTTGTACTTTTCAATAATGGTTAACTTGCTATTTGGAATCTCACTGGGCTTTTAGCTCATTCTACACCATTTGTTTTCCTTACAGGGGGTACGAGCGAGGCGTGAGACGTGTACAGACTAGTGTAGTCTAGTTGTTTTGAATTTTGAATTGTACGCGTGTTAGCACTCGACTAGGGTTAATTGTACCCGAATTTTAGACACTTTGAAGTATTTTGGTGTGTAGAAGCTTTGTATCTGGATTTGAGTTTGAGATCCCAAAATTTATTGGGTTTTTCATGATCTTGTTTTAGAATTGAAGGTATTATGTTTACTTGTTACTTGTTTCTTAACGACTTGTTCTGATGAATTGTAGCCTTTTGAATCTAGTTTCTAACACCATAAACCATTCCCAATTTGAACTTGTATTGAGTGAGTGGTGCTCTGAGTTCGAAAGTGCAGCAAAGCTGCAAAAGTGGAAATCTTTCTTTTCTTGCTAGCCAAATGGTTAGGTTAGTTTTGGGATGTATTGTTTTGAAAATTTTGATGTCAAACACCCATCCATTGCTCATCAAATGTTTATAGACCCTTGGTTTCAAAGACGGAGTGGATTGGGGTTGGTTTTAGTGGACAAAACTTTTGGAAAAGAAGGAGAACTAAGGTTGGCAGTCCGCTAACCCCTTTGGTACGCCTTAGGGGAAGGTGGGGCTGTCACCGGTGGTTCATCCGAGCTTCATAGAGAGAAATACTCTCAATTTTCCTAGTTTAATCTTTGCCAAAAATCTTGAGTTTTAACCGATGATTTTGCAAACTATTTCATACAAGGGCTCACTATGGTGGTTTAGAGCTTTTGATGGATTGATTTTTGGAAAGAAAGTGCTAAGTGGATAGCTTTCTTGAATTTGAGGTGAGTTGGATAAACAAGTTTCCTTTTGTTCTAAATTTGGTTAATTAATGCTTTGTGGTGGTCATGTATGTTATTTTGTGGAGTATTTCATGGGTTGAAGGAGTTTATGGTGAATTTCTGATTTATTGGGTATTTTTTCGATTTTATATGATAAGCATGAATTGGTCTTGAATTGATGGAATGTTATGGTGTTAATTGAAGCTTGGATACGTTAATTGCGGTTGATTGCGGAAAATTTCCGCTTGTGGTATAAATTCCGGTTTCTAGGGTTTCAATTTGGGAATTTTTCCAATGTTGGTTTATAAGCTTCTAATTGGCTTTAATTGAAGGATATAGTGGCCTTAATTGGATATGCTTATCGATTACGAACTATATGTGCAATTGTGGTTGATGGTTATGAATTTGGTGAATATTTGTAGGTTGGACAAATAAAGGAATTAAAGGGAAATGCTGTCCGATTTTGGATAGCGTTGGTTACTTTAAGCTGAGTTGACAGGTTTGAACTTGAGCAATGCAATTGTATATATTGGACGAGGATTATGAGCCGTGGAGGTGAGTGACTTAAACTACTTCCAAAGCTATTAATGAACGTTTTCTTGCATTATTTACTCGATTGCATATCATGTGTGCTTGCATGTGAGTTCATGACATGATTTGGCTTTAAATGAGTACTTGGGAAATCTCGTGCTGAACACCAACATCTCCACATCTGTATACTGTTCATCTGGAGCAAATGGCTCCCTCTCTCACTGTTTACTGTTACTGGATCTGTTTGAGTGTTGGATGTTTAAGTACAATGATTTCACTGGCTCACGAGAGCAATAAACGTACATTTGATCACTGAATCATGACATCATTGAAATGAACGATTGTGAAACTGATTTGTTAACTGATTTTACTGGTTACTCGCTGAGCTTCTAGCTCACCCCAAAATGTTTTATTCCCCTCTACAGGGCTCGAGGCGAAGAAAGAGCTTGTAGTGCCTATTCATGTGAATGGATGGATTATACCTTGTATGGTTTGAATTTGTATTGCCTTGATCTCTTGAGGCTATAGTTGATAGTGCAAGTGATTAGTTTCCGCATCGCTTTTGGTTTGTAAATGCTAGAATCTTTGATGTAATACTTTTATTAGGGTTGGTATTGAATGATTGGACTTGAATGGATGTACGTGGACACTCCGCTGCGTTTGTGATATGTAATTCTTGGAGAATTGAACGTATATTTGAGATTTATATTGTAATTTATTTGAGGATTGTAGTAAACGACTGAGTCCCGGCGAGAGCTGGGCAGGCAGTCCGCCGAACCCTCTGGTTCGCCTTAGGGGGAGGTGGGGCTGTCACATTGAGCATCAATGTATATATTAAGTTGAAGTGATGTGTTATTTCTTTTCTATGGACGTATGTTATTTTTCTTGAACTAAGTGAGTGAGTCCTGGCGAGACTTGGGCAGGTGACCCGCCGAACCTTGGGGTACGCCCTAGGGGGAGGTGGGGCTGTCACAAGCGCTGCTGAAATTTTCGCAGGACCCTTGAGCAATCTTGGGGAATCTGCTATATCTTGATATAGGAAAATCAGAATTGAGTTCTGTTTGTTGTATTTTAAACTAGGTTCATAGAGATATAAACCATGTAAATTTCAGACCCTGCTTCTGTCTGTACGATTTATGGTGATTTTTCAAAGTTGACTGAAATTGCATACCTGTTCTGTCTTTTACTGGACGAAGCAGCAACTTGAGGCTCAAATTTGACTGACTTGTGATCCGAATTTTATAAATATATCTTCTGAGAAATTGTACTCCTTTGAGTCTATTTCCGGATGGTATAAATTTTATCAATTTTGGATTTAAGGATCTTGAGATATGAGTTTTCAAAAGGTGGTGCGTAAAACTGAAAAAAAAATCATGTTTTCTTAGAATTATTCTTACTCTTATTTTGCACCTTAAGTTTGGAGTTAGTAAATCATTGAGGGTATGTTTTGGGTAGAAGCAAAGGGTTTTTGGATCATTCATATCTGTAGGACCAACTCCTACCTATTCACTCCAAAACTATACCTTCGTGTGCATTGGTAATTTACTGGGTTAGACATATGACTCGTAATCGAGTCTCAATTGTTCTACCTTGTTGGTTTAGGACGTGCCAGTGATCCAAGTACTTCGGGAGGAAACGTTTGAAGTTATTTGTTTAAACTGGTGAGTGTACCACACCCTTAATTTGTTGCTTATCTAGGCTATCTGTGACTTCTGTATACTCTGTATGGAACGAGGGCGCACTTTATCACACTCGTTTCTCTCATATGTTTATTCTGTTTCCTGTATACTGTATAAGTCTGTATGTGTTCTCTGTATCTGTTATCTGTATCTGTTCTTTGTAATTATTGATGTCGTTTGGAGGGTTGAGTCCAACGACCATTCTATGACCATTGAGCTCAAAACCGGGGGCTAGTTACTCGAGTCGAGCCGGCAAGGGCCTGGTCGATTAGATAATGAACTACGCTAGTCCACTTCTAGGAAATCTTTGGATATTGGAGACTCTGGATTTCCGGTATACTCGAGTATTACCATCTATGTTTCTGTTGAGGTGTTCGGGCCCGGTGAGGGGTAAGTTTGGTGGACGGAGTTGGCGTTAAAGTGGTGCGCTACTGGAGTGGTTCCTTTATTTAAAAGTTGACGGAGTGTCAACTACTTTGATCAAGCTTTGGTGAGGAAAAGGATAAATTGGCTCTTGAGAGGCGCCTGTATCCTTTCTATTCGAAATCTTTGTTTATTTCCCTTACCTGGCATGTGTATTTGACTATGTGTATTTCTGGTACCTCACCGAGCTTCTAACTCACCCCGTTCCCATTAATTTGTTTTCCTTACAGGAATACTACTTTGGAAATCATGATTTTTGGAAGGAAGAGTTGAACTAGTTGTGAGAACTCAAACCAACCCATATGAATAGATAAAGATGTGGATTTTAGATGTTACACCATTCGTTAAAACTATTTTTTTTTCTTGATTAGCCTTACTTTGAAATTTAGTAGTCTGTGGATGACTTTGCTTTCTTTGTTTTTGGAAATGAATGTGAGTTGCACTTGTATAACCAAGTTTATTTTGATAAGTTAGTGGGGTAAATTATAGAGATATGGAAATTAAAGGGGCTAGGTATCAATAATTTCATAGTTGGGAGATTTTTTGATTAAGAAGTAATCCTAGCAAGACAAGTGTTGCACATCCCTTAAGTCTTGACCAAGACATTAGCTAGTGTATATCTTATAACTTGGTCTCTTGAAGAGTTGAAGAGAAAGGGAGAGGGCCGTGGATAAGGAGAGAAAAAAGAGAGGGAAAGCTTCATTGTTTTCATCATGAGTTGTAGCAAAGAACTTGGAGGAATCAAGAGGGGAAAGCCATAGCACTTCAATCTTTCACTAAAACTTGAACAAAGAGGTGGTTTGCTCCAAGAAGAACCAAGTTTTTCTTGCTTCTAAGTTCCACCTTTGGTCAAGAGGTAAAACTAGAAACTCAAGCTTTCTTTTATGAACTTTAAGGGCCTTTGATTATTGATATGATTAGAAGACTAAAGACATGATTTTTATGAAGTTCTATGGACTTGAAGTTGGGTTACCTTGGCTGAAATTGAGGGTTTCATTTGTTCATGTAACTAGTTGTTTGATTCATAAGTAATACTTGTTAATTGATGGACCTCTTGTACAAGGGAAGAAGTATGGTTAAATTTTAGATGATTCATGACTAATTTTTCTATTTTGGTTGATGATTGATTGCTGAAATTTAGGGCTTCATTGATACGAGTGATTGAATGGTTAGTTTGCAAGTTCAAATTGGAGCAGGTACCTTGGAACAGTTTCGGGAGAATATTCATAACTTGGTGTAGGAAGGTCAGAATTGAGTTCCGTTTGTTGCGTTGGAAACTATATTCATGGGGATAGAAACCGTGAAAATTTCAGACCTTGGTTCTATTTGTGTGAATTATGGTAAATTTCCAAAGTTTGCTGATTTTCGAGACTGTTCTACTTTAATTTTATAGCTGCTGGACTGTATAGCTAAAATTTGACTTGGTTGTGATCCGAAGCTCTTAAAGTGACCTTACAAACATATCTAGATCTTTGAATGTAGTTTTTTGTGTCAAAATTTCGTGAAGTTTGGACCAATGTAACCCCTGTTTCAAATTTTGTCAAGAATGTTGCCGGTGTGAAGGGTTTGGGTAAGTTTCTTTAACAGTTTAATTCTGCCCTGTTTTGTGACTAAAACTGAGCTGCGAATTGCTCCATGTTGTAGATCGAAACAGCTTTTATCCAAAATATAAAAGTGGTAGAAAATTGAGTTATCTTTCTACCTGAAAAATTTCAGATCAATCGGGACATTGTAGCCTGAGTTACGGCCAGAATCCTAGTGTCCGCGCAAAGCCTTATTTCTGGTCATGATTTTGCGGAAGCCTCAGACCATGACTGTTCGACCCTGAAAACGTGAGAACTGGGTGTTGATGTCTTCATAAGAAATGTAGGTCTATGTCTGAGATTCGAAACAGCATAAAATTCGCCTGAATCCGAGATGTGTAGCCACAGTAGTGCTCAAAACACCGTAGGGTGTCCAAACTGCCATTGTTTTTACGTCTTGACTACCTTTCTTTTCCTCCCGTTTCCCTGGTCCAACTTTGCATGTACCTTATAAGTATCATAACCCTGGTTTCTTATGACCTAACTAAGTGTTCAAAACATGATTACTAGTTGCACCTATTGACTTTCAAATAGTGACCAAAAAAAAAACAAAAACTAGAAAACTAGTTACGCTATCTTCTTTTTTTTTCCTAAAAGATCTTTTGTTTTGATCCAAAGTGGCTTGTATGTTCTTAGAATGTGTTTAGGAATCTCACATATTTTTGGGACTTTGAATCAAGTGCTCTTGCATATGACTTTTTAATTTTATTGACTAAACCCTTAAATGTGGACGTTTTCTTCCTTAGTGTTTAAGTTGAGCTTGATGGCTATGGCTATCTTCTTATACGAGTATTGTGATTTGAATTTGATAAATTCTTGGTATAATATCTATGTACTTTAACCACAGAGTTCACGGGCGAGCCGAGGGACGATTCGGTGATTAGCTCCGATTACCTTCGCTAGTGGTGAGTGTTCCTTGCATGCGTGTATGCTATGTGACTTTCTTGTATAATACTGGATAACTGTCATACCATTATTAGGTGGGTGTGTACTTTATCGCACTCGACCTACTCAAAACTAAATTATGTGTTTTCACTGATACTGACCTACTGTACTGACTGCTACTGACCTACTGCACTGACTGATACTGACCTACTGCACTGTCCTTCTAGTCCGAGACACTCGAGCAGGTCCTCCAAATGAGCACCTATCTCCTGGACACTCGAGACACTGTTTAGTTGAGAGGCTCGAGCAGTGTTCTTCTCGAGAACACCATCTCCTAGTTGAAAGTGCCACTGCGCATGTGATTAAATTATGTGTTACAACGTCTGTGTGTTCATTTCATCCAATGATCTCTTATTAATTTTAAGTGTTTGGAACTGGCGGTCATGACGGACTGGAGTAGCTTCAAGAGTATCCTTTGACATAAATTGACTTATTTTGTCCTTGTTCAACTGATTATATTATGCAACTGGTTCTCATTGTAACTGAAATTGTTTAACTGTTGCTTACTTCTTTCTCTAAATTGTGATATTTGCGTGACTGTTAGGGGCCTCACTGAGCTTTAGCTCACTCCTTTAGTTTGTTTTCCTTAACAGGGGGCGGAGGACCCTGAGGAGCAAGTTGCAGGTCCTGAACTTTCGATACTTTTGTGTAAATGGCTTTAGAGAGCATTTTGTAGCTTTAGTTTTTGTTACACTCAAGGTCGGGTAGTTAACATGAACGTAAATTTTGACGGTATATACTAAGGTGATTGTAAATTAGAATTTTGTCCTTTGGAATTGTAAGTGGGGAGTTTGGTTGTAATGCAAGTACTTTGTTTATGTAAGTTTATCTTTTGACTTAACCTTTAAGTTTGGAATGTTATTTGGTTTATTAATATCCTTTTGGAGTTTGAGATGTAATTTATCTGAGGACTGTAGTGAGTCCCGGCGAGAGTTGGGCAGGCGGTCCGCCAAACCCTCTGGTTCGCCTTAGGGGGAGGTGGGGCTATTACACTAGTAGATGTGTATCATTTTGTCAAGCTCCTCTGTAATTATAAACTTTAAATGTATTTTGTATAAGTATGAACTTTTGTCATACTTTCGTCTTGTACTTCATGGAATTGTGAAAACATCAATGTATATATGTTGGTAAGTGTATACTATATATATCTCTTGAGCAATATATGTCTTGCATGTCTTTATGGTTATTTAAACCTTATTTGAACTTGTGGGCAAGACCGGGCGAGTGCGGAATTTAAATGAAGAAAGAAAAATTTCTGGCGGGAATTTCTGTGCAAGAATCCGGCAAATCCGGCCAAGAATTGGATCACTTTGGTGTTTAGCTATTGCCCCCATCCGGCCAGGAATCCGGCCGAAAATCCGGCCAGATCTCGGCCGGATTGTGACGTGGCAGCGGCACTTTTGTTTTGTTTTTTGATTTTTTGTTGGAACATTGTATGAAAGTTCTATTGCATCTTTTAGTTTAGTTATTTTAGTTTCCAAAAGTTCTTTTCTCGAAATCTTTTGAATGTTTGGTAGGGTTTACTTTCGTTTCGGATCCGTAGTCTCGGCGAGAGTTGGACAGGCGGAGGAGGAGGTAGGGCTGTCACACTTCCTATTATATATTGGTTTAAGAGGGATTGTATATCGTCAAAAAAAAAAAGAAAAAAAGGGAGAAAAAGAGTGTCAAATAAGAGTCTTATTCGAATGATTCTTGTACTGAATAGCTGGGAGTCTTTATCTAAAAATATCGACTTTCATGTAAAAGGTACGTGAATTTGGAGTAGTTGGGTAACTTGCATATGGAAGTGCTGAGTAACTGGGGATTTTCATCTAAAAGTGTCGATCTTCACATCAAAAGATACTTTCATTACTTAAGTATTTGTTGGTAGTTATATGAATTATTCCCTCTTTACACTTAAGTTTTGAGGACGATTATAGGAGAGTGTTAGCTATCTTTTGGCTGTATGAATTGTTTATTTGAGGAGTTAGATTTGGGTGAGAGATTGAATTGAACATGGTTAAATTCGAGCGTAGTTGTTTCTCCTTTACTGGATATTATGAGTATTTAGTGTAATTTGAATGATTGTATAATAGCTTATTATTGAATTATGGGATTTGAATTTGAAAAAGCATGTTATTTGGCTTAACACATGGGTCATTGGTGTGATGCCCCCACTTCTTTCAAAGGCGAACTCAAGGGTATCAGTGGAACGCCTACCCAGCTCTCGCCAGGACTCAGTACTAATTCAATTTACATTCAATACTAACCAATCGATACTAAAAATCAAAGAGGTAAAGGAAGGTCAATTCCTCAAATAAACGTTCAAGTCTTACATTATAATCTACCCAATTACTTTACATTCACAAAATATATAACTTCCAAAATCAAATTCTAAACAAATACATTCACAATTCTAATCAAGTGAAGCATCAAGTAAGTTTCTCTAGAATTCCTTCCATTTCAGCTCCTATTAAGGAAAAACAAATCTAACGGGGTGAACAGATGCTCGTGAGGCCAAGAAAACATGCAAGACAAGTAATTCGATAGCAATAGCACTTACACAATAGTGACAACTATAACATTCAAGAAATTCACAATTTATAATGAACCCCCTTGAGTAGGATTCATTTATGTTTCTGAGACGACTCGAGAAGCACCTCCCACCCAAATCGGTGTGGTACTTACTATCGTTCAGCTTATAGGTCTGAGACGATTCGAGAGGTACCTCCCACCAAATCGGTATGGTACTTGCTATCGTTCAGAGGTCGATGAGACACAACTCCAATCGACTTAGAATACTTAATGGCTCTGAGACGATTCGAGAGGTACCTCCCACCCGAATCGGTGTGATACTTGCTATCGTTCAGAGGTTTAGGGTACTGAGACGACTCGAGAGATACTTCCCACCCGAATCGATGTGGTACTTACAATTGTTTAGCTTATAGGTCTGAGACGATTCGAGAGGTACCTCCCACCAAATCGGTGTGGTACTTGCTATCGTTCAGAGGTCATTGAGGTATCGGTCAAATCGGCAATTCCAAATAGGAATCACATATACGAATCACAAATATGAATCACATATATGAATCACATATATGAATCACAAATACGAATCACATTCACATTATTATGTACAAGTCAAATATGAATTCACATATCAAAATACGAATATAATTTCGTTCAAAAGAGAACGAGTGTGGTAACGTACACAGTCGTCTCAAAATTTCAAATTCACATAATGGATAAGAAACAGTTAACCACTTAGCAACAAATTCATGCACTTGACACTCACCAATCAAAATAAGAGAATGAGTGCGTAAACAAGTCTTTAGGTGTCCCCCTCAAGATCCTCATGAAGGTCTCCTTGAGCACCTAAGCAAACAATAGTTATCTATTACACACTATCACTTAAAAAATTTTTCTTATCAAAAGAGGGATTGCACACTTGTACAATCTAGAAAAAACCATGGAATAGGGCTTTACTTGCTCAAAATTCAAGGTTCAAAAGTAGTGTTTATTAACACAAAGAAAAACTAATTTCCTTCATGAAAACAAGTCCAAAATGGTCAATTTGTATTGAAGGATAGGGAAGAGTCTCAAAAACTCAATTCCCGTCAAGTTTGAAAATTTCAGATTTGAGGTTCGATCTTTGAAAAATCGTATCCCTCTCTCTGTATGTCCAAAATTCGAAAACTTGGTACCGTTGGAAACTAATTCCAAAGTACTAAAAGTTCCTAGAAGACACCTTTCCATGATTCCAAATGGAAGATATTCCAAATTTGGCTTAAAGTTGCTGTTTTGGAAAGCAATGACAGATTTGGGTTGATTTTCGGCAAAGTTTGAAAATTCGGAAAAATTCACACAATGCGAACTAGCCTCTAAAATTTGGAACTCAATTAGTGTTACAATCAAAGTTTTCAACACAACAAGTGAAACAAGAATTGGACTTTCTAGCACCAAGATATAGTAGCTCAAAGTTGCTGAAAAAGTGAGACCGTTTAGATAATTTCCAGGTTTAAACCATGAACTTTGGGACTTTGATTGAGCATCGAAATGGACTTGGAATGACACCAAAGTTGGCAGCATTACACTACCATATAAGGGCTATTCCTCTGTAAATTTTCATGTAAAAATACATACAAAAAGTCGGTTAACAAAATCACTAAAGTCCCACGAATTTCCAAGACAAATCTGTCTTTGTATGCAAATTTTCCTTTTCTAAATATTCGGCCAATGAAAACATCTCAACATGGTTCATTTAGGTAGACAATGTCTAAGAAACATCCAAGATATGTTTGGTAGGTGATTAACACCAAGAATTTAGAAACAACAAGTCCCAATCAAGGTTAAGGCATCAACTAGCCCGAAGAGGGTTTTCAATCCCTGAATCAGTTTCGAACTTTGACCACAACTTACTCAATTCAACTTGCCCGAAGAGGGTTTTCAATCCCTGAATCAGTTTTGAACTTTGGCCACAACTCACTCAATTCAACTTGGAATTGACCGTGGTTGGTGACATTGAAAACTAGATTCATAAAGCTACAATTTCTCAGAAGAAATCATTTTAAAAATCTATCCACAACTAGCTCATATTTGAGCATCAACTCGCTGCTTAAAACAGAGCTTCCAGTAAAATGAGAAACAGGATAGGCAATTTTACAAGGTTGGTTCGGATGACTCAGGTGGAATCAAGATGTACATTTTATACCATTGGAAATCTGAGAATGTCTAGTTTCTAGTGCCACAAACAGCACTCAATTTCGACGTAGGAGTAAAACGTTATAGCTGTTTGAAAAATACTGCCAATGCAATACAGGAAAAATTCCAGTTTTGAATGAACTTTCGAAATCACCACATTTGGCCAACCAAATCGCGTAATTTTTTGTGGAAACTTTCCACACAACCCATACAACATATATACATCATAAACGAGTCAATAGAACTTCAAAAAAATGGTCTAAAGGTCACGGCATTCACAGGGGCAGAAATGAAAAAATTCTCCCTGTAGACACCAAATTTTTGGTGTAATTTCATTTTTAGTTTTTTACTTGTCGTGTTCATTTTTAGTTTTTAGTTTCCAGTTTTATTTTTTAAGTTTTATCATAGAATTTGTTGAAAAAAAGAAAAAGAAAAAAAAAGCATTCAAAAAAAATATGATTTAGTCGTTTGTAATTTAAATTCAATGCTTTCTTGAAAGAAAAAATGAAAAATATGAAAAATGAAAAATGAAACAAAAAAGATGGAAAAATGGCCATTTTTGTTGTTTTTAGTTGTTTAGTTTTTAAATTATTTTCATTATTATTATTTACCTGGTTTTTGGCAATTTGTTATTATTATTATTATTTATATTTTATCATTTCTGTATTTATTAAGTTAAAAAAAAAAAAGAAAAAAAAAAAAGAAACGCGGCATGATGCTGCGTTTTGCCGCAGCTTGCAATCTGAGAGCTTCGGGCAGCCCTTGGCTGCAAATACAGAAAAAGGACTGAAGGTTTAGGGTTGGTTTTGTCCCCCATATAAATACAAAATGAAAGCAACAGCCGCAAGGTAGAGAGAATCTGGGGGAAGTTTTTTGGGGAGCCGCAAGAAAGAGAAACAACGGCTGAAAGCTAGAAAGAGAGAGGGGGGATAGAGAGAAACAAGGACGGCTGAGCTTGGGAAGCAAAAACCGAGAGCAAGAAACTGGGAAGGGATCTGGGGGAACGGCAAAAGAAGACTTGGAGAGAAAAATGGGAACCAGAGTCCGAGAGAGAGAGAGGTAAGGGGGGTTGGCAGCTGCAATTGACAAAAACAAAAGAAAGAAAAGAGAAAACAGAAAAAGAAGGAATCTGGGCAGCGGAGAGAGGAGAGTTGCGAGTGAAAGAAAGGAGAAATTCTGCGGAGAACAACAGGAGA